ATGTATTGTATACATATGTATGTACGTGTATATATATATATATATATGTATACATATGTATGTACGTGTATATATATATATATATATATGTATACATATGTATGTACGTGTATATATATATATATGTATACATATGTATGTACAACACAATCTGTGCATTACTTTACCCATTCTCGTCCTCTACTAGATCTCTACAAAGAATAATCAGTGCTTTATCACATTCATACATTGATGGGACACACATCAGAGGCAATGCAGGGTTCAGTGTCTCACTCAGGAACACTTCAGCATGTGACTGCTGGTGGAATCAAACCCCCAACTCTCCCATTGGAGGATGACTGCTCTAGCGTCTCAGCCACAGCTGCCCACAACTGAAGAGGATTATTATTTAATATATGTAAATTGATGTCTAAAAACTAAACTATTTATTATATATAAATATTTAATTTTTTTAGGCATTTTTTTTTACAGCTGTTAATAAATGTGGCTGTGTGACAAATGGGACAAAACTTTGACTCATATTTTTGTTATTAATTTATGGAAAGAAAAAAATTTGAGATATATATCGTATAACGCGATTTATCTTAAAATATTGAGATATAAATTTTGTCCCATATCGCCCAGTTCTGATTGAACTGAAAAATTAGTTTGCCTGAAAGAAGAATTCACCTGTCAGTTTACCGCAATGACCATACCAAGCTCTCAACAGCCTAGCTCCATCTTATATTGTAGATTTTATTGTTCCATATTTTCCTAACAGAGCACTTCGCTCTCAGACTGTAGGTTTACTTGTGGTTCCTAGTTTCCAAAAGCAACTAGACACCTTGACTACTTTTAGGATAATGCTTCAGTCTTTCCTTTTTAATACATCCTATAGTTAGGGTTGGCTTGGGTTTCCTAAGCTATTCCTGTTCTGCTGCTATAAGCTTAAGACTGCTGGAGGACAGACTGACCACATTTCCTCACTTTGCTGCTGTCTCTACTTGCTCTACTCTACCTGTTTGCATTTGTAATTATTTATATCTTCAGATTTTTTTTGCCTTTCCTCTTATAGAAAGCACACTTGGACCTGTCATTCTGTGTTTGTTTGTTTCTACTTCCAGTCCTCTCAAACCCAGCCGGTCAGATCATATAGTTGCTCATCCTGAGCCTGGTTCTGCTTGAGGTTTCTTCCTGTTAAAAGGGAGTTTTTCCTTATAAGAGCTGCCCTTTTGAGTTTTTGGAATACTGCCTGCTTCACCACACTCTTTCATGTCACATGACCTTTCTTTTAATCATAAAATAACCATTTACAGTTAAAAATATTGGAAAAATTCATACTTGACCTTACATTAGCAAGGTCATAACTACAGGAATGAACAAGCGTTACACCTGAAAACATTCCTGAGATGTTTTTTTATTTTTTTTAATCGAAAAGCAATATTTTGTTTGCTTACATGGAGTGGGTATAGCCTAAAACTTGTACTGGGACCATTTGGACCTATTTGGGACCATCCTGTAACACATTTAGCTTCCTGTATGGAGTCTAGTAATTTAATGCATGTCTATCTATCTATCTATCCCAAAACATGTGTGTTATAAACCAGGCTTACAAAGACCTCAGAAAAGAATGGAGGGAGTTTAAATTAACAATTCAGCTCACTGAATTTTTTGTTTGGAACGCTACACTTTTCTTTCAGATAGGCAAAGCTCCTAAGATGAGAAGAGAAACAAAGTTCAGTTGCCTTGTTTTTGAAACGCTTAGAACTGACAAGTTTGTGAGTCAAACATCTGACCTGCGTCAGAGCCATACTCCAGATTCCCCTTCTGGTTGGTGATGCCAAGAAGCTGAGCTGGATGAAGAGATGCTGCTTCCAGAGCTTCTTCTATACTGCAGCCTGAAACAAGATGTAGAAGAGATGAGTAAGTCCAACATCTGCCTCAACAGCTGGACGTGGTGATATGACCTGAAGGACAAACCACAGTTTAGTAAAAAAAAAAAAAAATCTGCTGTTACAGTTAAGCTCACTCTTGATGGTTAATCAATAAATTTTTGTGGAAATAAATAAAATGAAGACATTTTGTCCATCAAGCAATAACCTTGTTCTTGGTCTTGTGTTCTTCAAAAATGTTATTATTTGGTACAAGCTTACTGTTTGAATGTTCATAAGAATGTTTCAAAAGAGTCAGGAAATAAAAAGAAATGCAGCAAATGTATCTCAAAACCAAATGAAGCAAACCAACCTGAAGCCTGTTTGAAATGGCGAACACACATGTCCATGGTGGCAATACTGCCACTGAGGGTCTTTGTGCCTGAAAGAGCAAAACTTGGTGTTTGGGTTAGAGTTTCTATTCATTTTATTTTTTTGTTCAGATTTAATTAACTGGCTCAGAAAAAAGAAAGTTTATCTACATAAACACAAGCTTGTCTCAGGCAGACAGAGGAACTGAGAACATTTTTTTCTATATACATGACTTCATCTGAGACAAACACAAAGATAAGGAACACAAGTTCAGTGACACAATTGGACTATAACTGAAAAAAAAAAGTCATAATCTGCTACCAAATACATCAACCTGACATGTTTTTTTATTATTATTTTAACAACAGTCACATATATGGTTTGAATTTAACTGTCTAAAAATTAAAAATTAAAACCTGCTACATAGGCGTGGAGGCCCTGGATCTCAATGACCTGCTGACCCAAAGAGTGACGACCTGGAGGAAGACCCATTGCTGTAATTGCATCTGTCACCAGAACCAAACCTGGAAAATAAATAAACATTTCTGGTTTCTACAGGAGAGATCTTCATTCAACCAAAAGGTTTAGATGATGGAACATCTTCGATCCATTCAACTTTTACGTTTATGTTATTTAAAAAAAATAATGTTTCAAACATAAGAATTCTACAACATGATTTTTATTCACCTCCAGAATCCTGTTATAACTTGGCCACATCTGCAAAAAGAGACCTACCTGTCAATGGCTGCATACAATCTACAGTAAATCAAAACTACAAAGTTCCAGCATTGTTCTGTATAATGAAGTCTGAGTCTGCACTACTGGACCTGGACTAAATGAAAGCACTGCAGATTAATTTCACTGGTGGACAAGTGACTTTCAACAACACAGTGCAACTTGTACATTAAAAACTGAGAAGTCTGCCATGATGAGGTTTCAGCAAAGCAAAGCAGGCATAATTGAACCAGTAGACACATATAAATGAGCAAGTCCTTTAGTGGTGGAACAGAAATGCAAAGGAGACAAGAAATAATCTGTTTGAAGAGTTTCAGACAGGGTTTAGAGCTCATCATAGCACAGAAACAGCACTAGTAAAAGTCACTAATGATATTCTCATGGCCTCAGACAATGGACTTGTGTCTCTACTGGTCCTGTTAGACCTCAGTGCTGCATTTTATACACTTGATCACAATATTTTACTACAGAGGCTTGAATATGATATTGGGATTACAGGAACAGCTCTAAAATGGTTTAAATCATATCTATCTGATAGATTCCAGTTTGTAAATGTAAATAATAAATCTTCTTCATACAACAAAGTTCGTCATGGAGTTCATCAGGGCTCAGTGCTTGGGCCAATACTCTTTATTTTATATATGTTTCCATTAGGTAAAGTTATTAAATAGCATGGGATAAATTTTCATTGTTATGCTGATGACACACAATTATATTTGTCCATTAAACCCAATGAATCCAATCAGCTACTTAGACTACAAGCATGTCTTAAAGACATAAAAACTTGAATGACCCTTAATTTTCTTCAGTTGAACACAGACAAGACTGAGGTTTTGGGTTTTTGGCCCTGAGCACCTTAGGAATGTTTTTTTTCAGTCTTTCTCCCTCCTTAGATGGCATTAATTTGTCCTCCAGCTCTAATGTTAAAAATCTTGGTGTTATTTTTGATCAGGACATGTCTTTTATCCCCCACATTAAAAATGTTACTAGAACTGCCTTCTTCCATCTGCGTAATATCGCTAAAATCAGAAACATCTCATCTAAAAATGATGCAGAAAAACTGGTCCATGCATTTGTCACGTCTAGACTGGACTATTGCAATGGTTTATTATCTGGATGTCCAAATACGTCTTTAAAACGTCTTCAGTTGATCCAAAATGCTGCTGCCAGAGTCTTAACTGGAGTTAGTAGGAGAGATCATATTTCACCAGTTTTAGTTTCTCTCCATTGGCTCCCTGTCAAATCCAGAATAGAATTCAAAATCTTACTTCTAACCTACAAAGCTGTCAACAACCTGGCTCCATCTTATATTACAGATCTTATTGTTCCATATTTTCCTAACAGAGCACTTCGCTCTCAAACTGCAGGTTTACTTGTCTTTCCTAGAATTTACAAAAACAGAATGGGAGGCAGATCTTTCAGTTCTCAGGCTCCTCTCTTGTGGAACCAACTTCCAATCTCTGTCCGTGAGGCTGACACATTATCCAGTTTTAAAACTAGGCTTAAGACTTTCCTTTTTGCTAAATCCTATAGTTAGGGTCAGCTTGGGTTTCCTGAGATGTCCCTTAGTTATGCTGCTATAGACTTAGACTGCTGGAGGACAAACTGACCACAATTTTCACTCTGCTACTGTCTTTCCTTACTCTGCTCAAACTGTTTTGTCCATCCATCCATCCATTTTCTTCCGCTTATCCAGGGTCGGGTCACGGGGGTAGCAGCCTAAGTAGGGAGGCCCAGACTTCCCTCTCCCCAGCCACTTGGGCCAGCTCTTCTGGGGGAATCCCGAGGTGTTCCCAGGTCAGCCGAGAAACATAGTCCCTCCATACATACTAACCCTAACCTAACCCTATCATCCTGAGTTGAGGTCTGCAGCACACCACTCCCACTATAAACAGTGTTGGTGGTGTAACACCCCCCCCCCCCCCCGAGATGCCGGATGGTGGATCAGAATTGCCACGAAACTGTGCGGAAGTCATTCTCCATGGCCTCTCCGAACTCCTCACATTCCAGGGGCCTCCTCCCATATATCAGGTCTCTCTTGTAAATGAGTCCTCGAGGCTCAATGGGATTTACCTGTCTAAATAAAGGTTGAATGAAAAATTCCAAATTTTTGCCTCAGTGACCACCCGAGCCGCATGTCGTTTGGACTGCCGGTATCCATCAGCTGCTTCCGGGGACTCACAGGCCAAAAAGGCCCGATAGGACTCCTTCTTCAGCCTGACAGCATCAGTCACCGACGGTGTCCACCACCGGGTTCGAGGGTTGCCGCCACGACAGGCACCGACAACCTTGTGGCCGCAGCTCTGGTAAGCCGCCTCGACAACAGAGGCAAGGAACATGACCCACTCGGACTCAATGTCCCCCACCTTCCCCAGAACATGTTCGAAGTTCTCCCGGAGGTGAGCATTAAGGTCACTTAATGTTAAAAAATCTAATTTCATCTTGTTTAAAAACAAGAATAACAATTACAATCCAGAAAAAAAACTAACATTTATATTAATAACAATTTACTTTTCAGTGTGTCATCAACAAAGTTTTTAGATATCTATATTGATGATAAACTGTTAAGAATCATTGTGAATCTGTGTGTAAGAAGATTTCAAAATCTTTAGGTTATATAAAAAACGTTAAACCATATTTAAAAACAAGTACTTTATTAACCTTGTACAATAGTTGAATTTATCCCATATTTCAATCAACCTTTGTTTATACAGGTAAATCCCATTGAGCCTCGAGGACTCATTTACAAGAGAGACCTGATTTCAACAAAGAAAGATGACAACAATGGACAACAGCAACAACAATAAACAGTTATAAAAAAGCATACTACAGTTTTTTTTGTTGTTGTTTTTTTTAACAAATAGGATGGCTAAAAGGAAAAGGTAACAAAACAAAAAAACAGCTTGATTCCAAGACAAATGTAGAAAACTAATAACAGGAACATGTCAGCATTGGACCCTGCCAGGTGTCCAACAGATTCTTAAAGACACTTAGAGAGGTCAAGGTCGAGAGCTTCAAATCTTTTTGTAAGATATTCCAGGAAACAGGAGCGGATATTTATTGATATTTATTATTGTAATTTAATTTGGGCTAGTACCTATCCTTCTTACTAAAAGTATGGTATGGTATGGTATAAAGTTTATTCATTTTAAAAAAGTACAAAACAATTCCATAACAATATAAAAAGATACAAGAGATTTAAAATGAAAGGCAGCAGAAAGAAGAAAAAAATCTTATTATATCTGCCCCTTTTTTCAAACAATTATTTCAATCATAATAATTTTCAAGTAACAGAACAAAATGAATAACTTTTTAATTTTTCTAATTCTAATACAAAACACACACTAAGCTACTTCATATATACTTTTTTAACAATTCAGCTTTGATCTTTTTCTTAAATGTACACATTGACTTGGCATTTTTC